AGCCTCTCGACTTAATTTAGTTTGACACGAGGTCGTTATTAATGTCATCATGACCCACCAAAATCACAAACCACTACTGAACAGTGGTCGCTGTGTTTCATTTTAATGGTCGGTTTCCATAAAATGGTTTTTATTTATTTATATATAAATAACTTGAAAAATACTCTATAATGAAAGCACACGTAGCTTCCTACAGTAAATTTATTACAAGTAAAATCACCTTTAGATACACATTTAGACCCTTTAATTAGTGTTCTGTTAAAGCACCTTGGCATTGTTGAATGTGAAGTTTGGCACATATGGAATTGGGGAATTTCTCCCATTCCTCCATTAGAGAACCTGTCATGTATTGTCAGGTTGAACAGGAACGTTGTCATATTATTTTGGGTTACGGCTGTGACTGGGCCCCTTTAGGACACTTTCAGTAGCCACCTGTGCGCCTGATTGTTTTAATTCATTGTTGGAAGATGAACCGTTGCCCCAATCTGAGGTCATGCCCATCGTTGAACAGATTTTCCTCAGGGATGTCTCTGTACTCTGATCCATTCATCTTTTCTCATATCCTCTCAGGCCTCCAAGCCCCTGCTGCTGAAACAGATCTTCACGACATGATGCTGCCACTACAGTGCTCGGCTAGGTGATGAGTGGTGCATGGTTTCCTCTAGAGCCATTGCTTTGCATACAGGCCAAAGAGTTCAATCCAAGGTCACAGAGTCTTTTTTTCTCATGGCCTGTGAATCCTTTAGTTGCCATTTGGCAAACTCAAAGTAAGTCTGGCCACTCTACTATAAAGGCCTGATTGGTGGAGTGCTACAGAGATGGTTGTCCTTCAGGCAGGTTTTCCATGCAGGACTTCAGGACTTCCATCAGAGGGACCTTCGGGTTCTTTGTTATCTGATTGACGAGAGCATTCTCCCAAGGTTTCTCAGTTTGACTGGGTGGTCAGCTCTAGGAAGAATCTTATTAGTTTCAAAGCTATTCCATGTAAGAATTACAGAAGTCATAAGGGATCTTCAAAACTCCAGAAACATTTTGGATTTCCTTCACCAAGTCTGTATATTGACACAATCCTGCAGGACAAATCTACGAGATTGTTGTTTGAGAGTTGTTGAAAGATCTCGAGGATGATCCTGAGCTTGTTTTCAAGCAAAGGGTCTGAATATTTGTATAAACACGAGGTCCTTTTTTTTTTTATAATATATTTTTGATGAATTTACAGAAAAATTATGAAAGTCAGTTTATGCCTTTTCATTACTGAGTCATTATTTTATAGAAACAATGAGGAAAAAGACCACCTCACATATACAAGGTAAAATAAATATTGTTTTTTTCCCCCTTGTAATATATATTCATGTGTAATTGTGTCTATAAGAAGACTGACCTGGACGATGCGGGATTCCAGCTGCTCCACAGACACCTGTTCTTTTGACTGCACGGTTGCACTCATCATCTGTCTCTTCATCACACTGTACTTCTGAAGGGCCTTCTGGTGCTCGTGCAGAACGCCCTTCTCGTGACGCTCGCACAAGTCCTGCACCGTATGCAGTAAGCAGCTTACACATTTTACGTTTTAAATCCACTCTAAAAGGTTTAGGCTGTAATCTGTAATAATATATAATCAAAAAAAAAAAAAAAAAAAAGGGTTAACCAATTTTTTCTTTTTTAAAAAACCAACCCTGTACGACTGTAGCAAATCCAGGAAGAAGTTCAGTTTTTCCACCACATCATCCTCTTCCCTTTTTCCCTGTATATATATATATATATATATATATATAAAACATACAAGAGCCTGGGCTTAGATTATCTCCTCTGTGTCCTGCATCAACACTTTCTATAAATGAGCCAGTACCTGTTGGGCAGCTTTGTCTGATAACAGGGAGAATTCAGAAGAAAGGCCACGGAGAGAGAGTCTCAAATCAGCCCACATGCCCTTAGAGGAGTCCAGGACGGGCACGGGTGAGGGGTCACAACCCAATGTACTGGGGAAAGGAGTAAAATTCTAATCAAATGCAATCTATGGGATGCTGAAACCCAGCACATCAAGCAAATTCAAACCAAACACAGCGATATACCATGTATCATTTACCGAGCTTCACCGCTAAAGAAAAGTAATGCAGGTGATTGGTCAATTGCAGGCCAATGTTGCATTTAATGTTGTGTAATAATTCAATAAATATATTTAGAATGAAAATGTTTCCAAGAAGCAGCTCAAAATATTTCCTGACTTCCCCTTGCACAAAAGCAACACTTCCTGCTTTCTGAACAAATGCAATTTTTTATCTGCTTTATAGTCTACTGCAGTAGGCCGCAATAAGGAAGTATCTGATTCCAATTATAGATATTATAAAGCAAATGAGGCCATACGGGCAGCTTTTACCTCATCGTGACTAATATACACTCACCGTCCACTTTAATGGGAACACCTGTACGGCTGCAGGTTCATGCAGTTAACTAATCAGACAATCGTGTGTCGGATACAGATACAGGTCAAGAGCTTCAGTTAATGTTCACATCAAATATCAGAATGGGGAAAATATGTGATCTCTGTGACTTTAACTGTGGTGTGGTTGTGGGTATTATGTGAGCATTTCAGAAACCGATGGTCTCCTGGGGATTTCCCACACAACGGTTTCTAAGGTTTACACAGAATGGTGTGAAAAACAAAACGCATCCTGTGAGCAGAGGGTCTGCAGGCTGAAACACCTTGTTGATGAGAGAGATCTCTGAAACTGGACCATTGAAGACTGGAAAAGGTGATTTTATTTTTTCTTCTAATCTTCAGCTGTCCAGTTTGGGTGAGCCTGTGTCCTTGATTGCCTCAGATTCTTGTTCTTGGCTGACAGGAGTGGAACCTGATGCTTTTCTACTCATCACAGTTTTAATGAGTGACTATTTGAGTTACTGTATCCTTCCTGGTAGCCCAAACCAATCTGGCCATTTTCCTCTGACCTCTCTCATCACCTTTCTGAAGCGTGTCCATCCACAGTCCTGTCGCTCACTTACTGTATCATTGTTTTCTGCACCATTCTGTGTAAACTCTAGAGACTGCTGTGTGTGAGAATCCCAGGAGATCAGCAGTTTCGGAAATACTCAAACCAGCCCATCTGGAACCATGAACCATGCCTCGGTTAAAGTCACAGAGATCACACTCTCCCCCATTCTTAAGTTTGATGTGAATATTAACTGAAGCTCTTGACCTGTATCTGCAGGATTTTATGAATTATGCTGCTGCAACATGATTGGCTGATTTAGATAACTACATGAAAGTGGTATATTCTCTCAAAAACATGGTAAGAATACAGACACCCCTAAAATATTTTTATAAGAAATGCAAACAGATGGTTCTAATGTTTTTTTCAAGTTCCCCTAGTTTCCAGAAAACCTCCTGATCAAACAGGATGTTGCAAAGCTTTTCATTCATCATTGTGGGGAACCCCAAGAAACATTCAACACAACCGAACAGTTATAAAATAAAATAAAATGCCTAAGCAAGTAAAAATGACCATTAAACACATTTACAGCCATAATTTAAAAAGGAAAAGTTTCACCAGTCTTTAAAAAACTAAATATGCATTTCTACCATTTAAATATAAATAAATATGTTTGTCATTTACAACTTAATAATCATTTTTGATTACAGCATTTAACTTAAATAGGGTCATCGCAAACCATACTGTATCACACCATCGTATAGCTGATGTACAGCGGGCGTGTGGGTGTTACTGACCTAAGCTCCTTCCCAAACATGAGCAGATCTGTGGAGTTCTCCTTCGAACGCTCTGCCATTCTCTCTGCTCGGTCCCGCAGTTTATGAAAGCTGTTGTGGATGTTTCTGATCAGCTCTCGGCATGTAGTAAACAGGGCCTGGATGTCCGGAGGGAGGTATTCCTACAGAAAAGACATACACGGCCGGTGTTAGGGCATAATGATGCCGATTATGACTAGTGTAGCACCCAATACATTAGATCATGTGAATCTAGAAGAAGATGAAGAAATAGAAACCTTGGCTTGTGTTGCATATGTATAGGTCATAAACTCATCTCCCATTTTCTTGAAAGCATCTCGTAGCTTTACTTGGACGTCCTGAGATATGATAAAGAAACCGAATGAATAAATAGGAAAATTTGTGTAAATGACATCATTACATATATGTATAGTAAACCCTGGTCAAGATGTGTAGACTTCACGCGTATTCTGCTGATAATTTTTCAGTTTTGCTAAAAATCACAAGAACAAACTAAACACTCAAAAATATCTAAAAATCAAGTGGTGAGCATTTATTTTTGGTTTTTGGCTCAATACCCTAGCATATTGGATTTCAAATGAATGGAGATAAAGAGCAAAACATGTTTAAGGAGACCAAGAGTTATTCATCAACAGGCTGATTAGTTCTCACTTTTTGTGTCATCATGAATTCCTGCTCAAAACAGGTTTTAAAAAAAAGGGTCACGTTGTTGAATGTGTCATTTCTATCACACATTTCTTTCTGTGAGGCCAAAAAAGTGTTAGTATCATAATGATGAAAAATCATAGCCGTAAGCCATATTAGACACTGATGGATACCGGTCTTTTTCAGTATTTGCCCGTCTTTATCCTTCCTCTCCTAAAAATAAAAAACCTACATACCAAACTACCTACGATATCTACAGTGGTCTGGGCATTTTATTCCTGTCCAGATCAACAGTTCTGTGATTTTTGCAGCCAGATGCTGCCTCTTGTGTGGGAAAACATTTTTCTGACTGCTTTCATTCCCTGTATTTATTCAGGTAGCATGTGTAATCGATATTACAGAATCACTACAGAATCACAAAATCGGAGAACTGCAATCCTGCAGAGTATAATCTAGTCTAGTAATAAAATGAATGAGAAATTGTATCGCTGTTCTTTATTAAGTCTTTATTCAGCTAATATTAGATGCTACCAAATAAATAAATATATGTGTGTATTATCCAATAATATCTTCTGCATTCAAACCACAAATGCATACAATACATGTAAAAGCTCAGATAGCTCATTTGGTAGAGCATCAGGATTTTAAGCTGACGGTCCAGGGTTCAAGTCCCTTTTTGGGAGTTATAATACCCACTTGTTCGGGCGGCTGTGGCTCAGGGGGTTGAGCGGGTTGTCCACTAATCGTAGGGTTGGCGGTTCGATTTCCGGCCCACATGACTCCACATACCAAAGTGTCCTTGGGTAAGACACTGAACCCCAAGTTGCTCCGGATGGCAAGTTAGTACCTTGCATGGCAGCTCTGCTACCATTGGTGTGTTTGTGAATGGGTGAATGAGGAACCAGTGTAAAGCGCTATATAAGTGCACACCAGACCAGACCAAATAACATATTACCGAGTGTGATCAAATATCTAGGATCGTAGATTAAAACAATCCTAACCTGATCGTCCAGTTTTGAGAGTTTTATCTCACAGTAAATAAAAGAGACACTAATCCCATCCAGATAGGGTTCTAAACAAAAAACTCTGAACAACAATGAGTACCAAGAACATATTGTTCAACTCAACGTTTTGATGAAAACCCACCAAGAAAATAATTTGCTGAATTAACCTGCAAAAAAAGAAAAAAAAAAGTAAATTCGATTGAGAACATTATTCAGGATGGCAGCAAGGATGTGTCCAACCTTAGCATAAATAAAAAGGACCTACACTTGGTGTAGATTTGTAAACAAAAAAATGGTACTGAAAGTTTGCCCCCCCCCCAAATCCAATTAATCGATTAATCAAAAAAATATATATTTGGCCAACTCATCGATTATGGAAAATAATCGTTAGTTGCAGCCCTAGATACAAGTCGTTTTGTTCTTACTAGTTATTTAAATAGATTTGCCAATATATGGCCCATGGAAACATTCACTATGGCATCATTTTTGCCAATGATCATTTCAAATCCAATGTCCCAGGAATACCAAAACCGTACAAAACTACTCTAATAGTTCTACACGTATATACTGTACATACACATACAAACAACAATAGCGTAGCAATACTTTAGTATCACTTGAAAGAAACGTGAAAAAAGGTCCCCACCGAGCCATTGAATGTAAGAAATATTTTAACCAGCTCGTCCTCTGAGAAAAAGGGATGTCTTGCTACAAGGTTCAAAAATCTGCTCAAAGCACGCCGCCGTCCTTCGATGAACTCTTTCTCTGACATTGAGTTCAATACTGTAGTGAACAGAGGAGGAGAAATAAGGTTAATTAAGGTAAATCTGAATAAATTACCTCAAATATAACCAAGCCATAGCCAAACAAAGTGCAAAATTGCTATCTGCTGATTGTGTGCTGGCGGAAGCATGACTCGGAGTCGGACTTACAAGCTTTTGGCTTTTTTGATCATACGATAAACTGCATAACATCATACCTCCTTTAAGCACTCTTTTGGGTGGCAGGGAGGGCACCATTCTGTAGGCAAACCTCTGAAGCAAAAGCTCATGGAAGACATCAAAGTCGCTGTAACGCCGATAGACGGAAATTTTGAAGCGCTGAAAAAAAAGTAAATCCTGGTAAGTTTGTACCTGCACAGAATGTTAGACCTGTCAATAGACATCTATTCTATATTTACAGGAGTGTCACCCTTCAGCCCTATGAAGAATTCTGTCTTAGATGAAGGCAAAATGCTAAGAGGGTGTGCTTGCTATCTATACAATAAGAGAAGCAAACTAGAGAAGCAAACTGGAGAGGACAGAACTTGCATAGGACCATCTTTGCTCTCAGAACAGCCTTATTTCTTCATGGCATGGATTCCACAAGGTTTCTACAAGGAAACATTCCTTCAAGATTCTGGTTGACATGATTGCATTGCTTGGTGTAGACTTGTAAGCTGCACATTCATGCTGCGAATCTGCCGTTCTACCACATACCGAAGGTGTTCTATTAGATTCAGATCTGGTGACTGGGAAGGCCACTGAAGTACACTGAACTCATTGTCATGTTCACAGAACCAGTTTAACCAATTTGTGATTTGTGACCTGTCTTATGATCATGCTGGAAGTTGTAGACAATGGGGAAACTGTGGCCATAAAGGGATGCACATGGTTGGCGACAATACTTAAACAGGCTGTGGCGTTCAAACGATGTTTGGTTGGTATTAAGTGACTCGATATGTGCCAAGAAAACGTCTCGCACAGCATTACTCCACTTCCACCACCAGCCCTTCTCTTGACACAAGGACAGCTGGGTCAACGGATTCATGCCGTTAACAGCGAATTCTGACTCAGATCAGGAGATGTTTTTCCAGTCTTCAAATTTCCAGTTGAATATTCTAAGATGCTTTTCTGCTCACCACGGTTGTAAAGAGTGGTGATTTGAGTTACCATAGCCTTCCTATCAGTTCAAACCAGTCTGCCCTGAGGTCTCACTTCAACATGGTATTTCTTCCTGCAGATATGCCTCTTAATTTGATGGTTTTTTTTGTTTTCCTCACCATTCCGCTTAAATTCTAAACAACAAACATGCCACAGTCTAAACCATTTACTCATTGTGGAACATGACATCAAACACACGTTTGCTGGCACTGGAGCATTTTATATTAAATGCAGCGAAGACGACTGTAACTTTACAACTGTACGAAGCAGGCTTGTGTAGCACAGAATATATATATATATATATATATATATATATATCCAAAATGCTCAACTATGTGCAAGGGGTTGGGGAAATTGGTGCAAGTTGCTTAAAAAAAATAAAATAAAATATATATATATATATATATATATATATATATATATATATATATATATATATATATATATATATATATGTGTGTGTAAATTGGATGAACAGTTGTGCTAATGTAAAGTTATATCTCAGTTTATGTTTGTAACACAGTTTGTGGACTTTTATTTTAAATAAACAAATAAATGGTATTGAATTATTTTTTTAAAGATCCGATTAAAAGATTCGACAAAAGGAGAGAAAAAATATCAAAATAATATAAAATAATAGTTGCAGCCCTAATTTTAATTAGTAGTATAATTTTTTCCTCACTGTTTATTAGGAAGAAATACACTGTATTTTAGCCGTGAAGCTAGTTAAACTAATGCTATTAAAATCTAATGTTATGAATTTGGGTGTTTGAAAAATACAGATCTTAATTTAGTTTCTAAATCATTTTAATGTACACACTCAAAATAGTGGAGTCAGAGCCTGATTCAGATTGTTGTCAATCAATAAACATGGCCACCTTATTTTTCCAGAAGGAGCCAATCTGACTGACATGGAAGACTTTTTTTCTCCAACACTCAAGTTTATCTTGTTTACTCGCCACTTACCACTAATCTTTAATCATTGAACCCCCTATATTCAGAGAAATCCACAAATTGAAATTGGAGATACACGTTGGTTGGGATATGGGGTGGGACCTCCTGAGATCTACAGTGTGGAGGTTTGGCTTGCATTAAGGAGCAGAGCAGTAGAGCAGGGCTGTTCGAGCTTTGGGCTTTTCAAGCTCCTCTATATCATTTGGATTTGTGATTGTCCACTAAGAATTTGCACAACATTACAAAATGGCTGACTCACAGACAATATGGTGTATAGGAAGAAGGGAACAAATTCAAAAACGGCTCTAAAAATGAGTCCTCTGAGATCTTGGTTCTCTTGGTATTCTACACATGTGACAGCCACTGACTCCTGCACACCTGACTCTCATTAGCAAAGTGTGACCGGCATACAAGGCTGAAATCCATGAAATCCGACTGGCCGCCTGAGATCACTGGCTGCCTGCACTCTTTTTTCTTTTTCTTGTGGAGATTTTGTGCAAGTATTTCTCAGTCTATATTACATGCTCAAATCTGTGGTACTCTGTAGCCGTCACCTCCCTGAATAGATTTTTTTCATGACATTTCTAGCTAAGGTTCTGTGAAATAAATAAATAAATAAATCACATTTCATTCAAAATCCATTATTTAATGGATCTAGGTAAAGAAGTGCTAGGGCTATATTAGTGGTTATAGTTTAACTTGTGTTATTGGCACTACACTTGCTTTTTGTTCACAAAAGGAATATTTGTTTTTCATTTATCCGTAACATGTATTATGTTATCCCAGCCACTCGTATATATTAATGTCCACTTATTATGGTTTTACCAAATATTACCTTTCATGTAGTATGTCATATAGCTGTTTGTGGATGTAAAAAGTCTGCAAAGTTTCAAACATTATTGGGAGTTAAAAGAAGGAACCGATTCTGAACAGCTGAAACGAGTCGTTAGTGATTCCAGACTTACTGCCTGTACTAACCTACGTACCTGGTCTTCATCGGCTGCTCGCTGACAGCCGTAGACCAATCACAACAGACTGGCACATCTGACCAATCAGAGCAGAGTATGCTCTCTGAAAGGAGGAGTTTAGAACGAATCCTTTAGAACGAATCCTTTAGAACGGATCATTGAACGAGTCGTTTGTGACGCTGGGGGGAAAATATAATGCTGCAGTTTAAATTATGAGCACGTTTAAGTGTTTTTTTGACCTCGGATTCATGTAAATCTATTGTATGAGACCTTCAAAACAAAATTAGGCACATTTCTGTCAATCAACCAGCAACAATGATCAACTTGTCTATCAAAAGACCATGTTTGGGATGTGATTGTAAAATTCTGTCTCTTTCAGACACCTTTCCCTACAATATCCATTTATTTAAATCCCATGTTTTTTTGAAAGTAACTTACTGTAAAAACTCTTAGTGTGTAAACGTACTACTCAATAGGTCTACGTTCCCCTTACCTCACTGGTGACCTGATACTCCACATGTTTGAGGAACAGGCCTTTCTTCTCAGGGATGAGCTCCACCTTTATGGTGTCCTTGTCCAGCAGGTTGGCCAGGGACAGAGACATGAGAAGTGGGTTCTCCTGAGCTGGCTGTATTCTCAGGGCCTGCATCTCCTTTGGGTCTCCCAGCTGGGGCTTAGGGAATTCTGTTAAAAAAAAAAAAAAAAACGTCTTAAATTTTTTTTTTTTTTACCCCTGAACATTCTCTATGTATCTGGTCAAGAAGAGCGAACAAAGTGTGAGTGCCTGGAAAGACTAGCAAGTAGTGATAAAGGTCACATTCACTTACAATACTGT